TATGAATTATCAAGATTTTGAATTGTGATATTGTTGCAGCTTTATATACAGCAATCAGACCTGCAGCAACTCTGGATATGTTCCCTTCTTGGCCAATCAAATTCCAGCACAATACTCCAAGAGTACTATTTCTTTAATTTTTACTTCCCACTTTCAAATTCACCCAATACAAATTTTAAATCTTTGACCAAGTTTTTGTACGCATTTTGAACCAGAGCAAAATCAAAATTAATTTTCTGGTAAGGATATTTGTATATTAATTTCTGATAACAATATTGGAGCTTATCTTTTAAGGGCTTTTGGAGCTTTCTTCAAAATCTGTTGTAGTTAATTATTTCTTCTTAATATAAATATTATATTGTTGTTATTTTTTATTTGAATGATGATGGAAGCAAGTTTGACTTTATATATTTCATTTAATAGAGCTCAAAATCAAGAGAAGAAAGTACTACAGATTCTGTGAACACAATCTCCACAAACAGATTTGATCATCAGCCGGAATCTCCCATCAGCACCACCAAAGATCAATCTTTTCCGGCGGCCGAGATTAAAAACCACCGCCTCCCGCCGGCGCAGATGGAAACCGCCGGAGTTTCACGGGCTTCTCAACAGCCACCGGCCAAACAAAACCCAGAAGTAAAGGTGCCTGCTTTTTTTCATTTTATAAAAGAAAAAGGAAAACTTTTTCTATTATTTTCTTATTAGTTTGGTTTGAATTTTAAAAGAAAAATCCCGAGTCCCAACAAGTAAAAACTGCTGGAAAGATTTGTATCAAAAGATGAGTTGAGTTATTTCTGATTTGGTTCAGGGATTTTCTGATTTTTATTCTGACATGTAATCAAGAGAGAGTAGAATCGTTTATGATGGGGTAGTAGTAATAAATTNTTATAATAATAATGTGACCAAAATCTTTAGTTTAAGTCATAGTTCATAATTACCTACTTTTTCCCATCCCCAAAACTGTAGTTCATTTTACCTTTTTTCTTGCTTTTAGCTTCTCCTTCTTTTTTTCATTTTTCTTTTTTGAATATTTTTTTAAGTTTTCTTTATTGGAAATAAAGTAATGCAAATCTAGAGAAATTACAAAAATTAGATGTGATGGGATGGATTAAACATTTCATTGACCATCATAATTATTTTCAAGAAACAGTTCACATATCAGCATCAGATACAAGTCTAAAAAAATGCCTAACACCAATAATTACAAAGATATATATTTCTTGTTAATAATAAAACTAAATTAAGACAACAACTGTGATGAACAGAATAAGATTCTGCCATTACTACACGCTACCTTCTCTTCAGACAAATTCAAAAGGATAATAATAAATAGATGAGATTATTGATTTATACCAATACAAGGACGAAGTTCAATGTTCCTCATAAAATTATATTTGTTTATGTTTAGCTGCTATTATTGACCACAATATTTAAATGCTAATTCATAACAACTTCCATAAATTTCTTGATTAATCCTTTTTCTTCTCCTTATCTTTTTTAAATTATGCAGAGAAGGGGGCCTGGTTGCAATTCAGACAAAGTGCTTGATGCTAAGGTCATAAAAAGCCCACATTTGCATGCATGGGCTCAAATCTGTAATTATAAAAAAAAAAAGAAGAAAAGAATACATATTGTATTGTTTCTTTAATTTCCTTTTTTTTTTTGAAGTTAATAAAATCTTCTTGGGTTACAGACATTGAGACGTTTGGCTCAGAATAGAGAAGCAGCAAGAAAAAGCAGGCTTAGGAAAAAGGTGGAGTGGACACCAAATTATTTTATTAAAAAGTTTGTATTAACTATGCAAAAGAATTATATTAATTATTAACCCAAAAGCTACCATTTTATTGATTAGTTTATTTGAAATGTATCAACAGGCTTATGTACAGCAGCTAGAATCAAGCAGAGTTAGGCTGAGTCAGCTTGAACAAGACCTTCAGAGGGCTAGGTCACAGGTAATATTAATAACACTTAACTACATTTAAAAAAAAAAAAATGGAAATAAAAATTTAATGCCCTAACATTTAAATAAGTTATCTATACAAGGCTATAGTTGATCTGTCTATAATTAATTATTGTGGTCAACAGGGGCTTTTTTTAGGATCAGGTGGGGTTGCAAGTAGCAGTATTAGCTCGGGTATGTCTATCTGATTTTCTTGAATTTGCTATATTATCCTTGCATTTTGTCTTTTTTGCCCATACGCCCATCTGTCCTTGTACGTTAAATAATTAATCGTTTTATTTATGTTGATTAAAATGTATGATGAGATAGGTGGAGATGACATTTTTGTTGTACAATAATACTTTTTGACAAAATCAATTTCATACTTGTATAATTTAAAGTAATAAAGCTTGAAACATTCTACAAAAATTAACCTAGATATTGGTAATGTTGTTAGACATATACAATTATAATTTTTAAACTAATAGTGATTAAAATAACATAAATAGAAACATCTCATATATTAATAAATTATATATTTTTGTTCGAAAAGTATAATCAGGTCAATCGGCATAATTTCTCATATAAAATTTGGGGCATTAATAGATATGTACATGTATATTAATATATTTATGTTTAAAAAACACTGCCTTTTAGTCTTAGAGTACTTACCATCTTAATAAAAAATAATGTCACATGTAAAGTGTGTGCTTTCTTGAATTGTACTTTTTTCCCTCCTATAAGTACAAGTCATTTTCTCACCTTACCGTGTGACGAGCATGGCAAGAATTTAAGAATATTTGATAAAGTGGGAGCAATTTAGTTTATTCATTACTATAATTAAATGCTATTGTGAAGTTGAAAAAATTGATTAGGAGATATTTTAAATGTCAAACTCTTCAGTTATTAGACTTTGATTAGATTTCCTCTTAAATTATCCACATTATTGACCATAAGAGGCATACTTGATCTTCAATCTTCCAGAAAACCAACTTATTTGACCAAACATTAGGACACATAAAAAGAATTCCAATTAAAAAGAAGATTTTTTTTGTTTTTGTTTTTTTTTGTTTTTTTTTTGTTTTTTTTTTTTTTTT